GTCCCCCCCCCCAGCCACTCACTCGGGTTGGTGTCACCGTGGATGTTTAGACGTGGGGGCTGTCGCCCGGCACACTTCGTTCTCACGCTGGCCTTGCCCCAGCTCCGGCCGCTGGGGGCTTTCACTAGCCCCAGGCCCCTGACACAGCCTGCGGTGTGCGTGCTGCCTCTCGTGCGAGCATGTGCTGCCCGCTGACACGCCCGGCCTGGGCCACCGAGGGCTCTTCCTGGACGCCCTGGACTGAGTGTCTTCCCAGGGAGGCCGGTTCCTTTCGCTGGGAGCAGTGTCCGAAACCAGTGTGGACGCTGGCGTGACAGGAGATTTTTACACGAATTTAATCCTATTGCTTTGGGCTTGTTTAAATTCTATCTCAAAGGCAGAACTAATTGATGCTCGGTTAGGGGACAGGGTGCAGGGCCATCCTCACTCCTAACACCGGCTGTGATCTGGGGTCCCCAGCGTACTCTTTGGGCGATCGTTCCTAGGACTCACAGAGGCCGTCACACTCGGCACTAAGGTTCATTGTGGCCGAAGGGGACAGACTGACATCGCTGGGGCAGACGCCTGGGGCGAGGCCCAGGATAGTTCCAGGCTGTGAGTCGCCAGCCGCCCCTCCCCGTGGAGTCAGGACGGCCGTGTGCAGGGGTGCTGCCAGCCAGGCCCCCCGGGGCGCCCGGCCCCTTCACCCTGTCCCCGTGCCCTTCTGAGCCTCCTGCCTGGTGCCCAAGGGACCCCTGCCCCCTTTCACAAGCTGGGGGTTTCCGCCATCACCCCTCGGTCGCAGCTGGAGCAGGCCCAGCCCTGCATTTTTCTCACAGGAAGTGTTTGGCCCTTATCCCGGGCAGCGCTTCCTGGAGCCAGGGAGAAAGTCGTGCCATTTGGGGGGTTTACATCAGGGGGGGCTTTTATAGCACGTGGATGGGACGAGTGGGACCGTGCTCTGCTGACTCCGTCACCACTGCCCCTCCAGGGGTGTCCTGAAGTCAGCGCTGGATGTGGTGTGAGAACAGCCTTGTGGTCTTGGGCACCCAGACCCCGAGTGCCAGGCCGGGGTCCCCAGTTACCACTGGGACACCCTGACCAAGGCTGCAGGCCCCTCGAGCTGGCTGCAGATCCAGGATGAGGCCTCGCGTGGCGGTGGCGGGGTAGCCCTCGGGGCCGGCCCTGCCCTCCGTCGGTCATACTGCACAGGGCCGACTGGACGCTCCCACGGGGCCCGCGAGATGGCCACGCTGCCAGTGGGCCGTGCACCTCAGTCAGCGATGCGGTCGCCCGGAGGCTGGTCCTCTGGGCTGCGGTGCATCTGAGGAACAGGGCGAGCACCTTGTGCCGCTGAGCCTGGATCTCAGTGCAGTGGCCAGTGGGGGGCCGGCCCCAGGCAGCATCGGCGGGACCACCGCCCCCCCGCCTCACACCTGCTGGGTCTCGGGTCCGCCTGCAGGTGCCCTGGACTCAGATTCCGCGTCCTCCCACACGCGGTGCTTGGTGCCCAGGGACTCTGTCCTGGGATGGGGTGGGACACGTCGGCTCATTTGCATCAGCAGGGGTGGACAAGGCTGTTAACACCCAGGGCTCCCTCGTTCCCGGGCTGCACCGGCCTGCTCGACGACTGGGACAGCAGCCCTCCCCAGGAG